TGTCCTATCATTGCAGCTCAAAATAAAAAGCCCCTCCCGGGCTTTCTTGTAGCCACTTCAGATATTGAAAAATTGCTATGAGGTCTCCATGCAGTCTTCTCTTCTCCAGGCTGAACAGCTCCTACTTCCTCAGTCTGTCCTCACAGGGGAGATGCTCCAGTCCTCTTATCAATTTTGTGGCCCTTCTCTGGACTTGCTCCAAAAGTTCCATGTCCTTCTCATGCTGAGGACACCAGAACTGCACGCAGTGTTCCAGGTGGGGTCTCACGAGAGCAGAGGGGAAGAATCACCTCTTTTGACCTGCTGGCCACACTCCTTTTGATACAGCCCAGGATATACATACAAAGGACTGGGCATACTGTGTGGGGTCCACAAACCTGCCAAATGAGTAGGCAGAATCAGAGTGAATCTGAGAAACTCACCTCGAATGGGGCACCACCATTATCAAAGTTTTATGCAAAACATGCATAAATGCAACTTACAGCATTGTGTGATCTTCTGGATGTTGGAAGTTATGCGTTGGGCTAGTTGATTAGGGTCCCCAAAACCTGGTCTGTACGACATGGCTGAGTAGATTTGCTGTCAAGATCATCCACAATGGGAAAAAGTCAGGAAGTCTCTACCTACAGAAAACAAGAGTTATGTTTTAGTCATTGGTTTACAAAGGTCTTCATCATCTTAAATAAGAAAGACTAAAGAAAACTCCATCTACTACTTTCCCCACTGTAATCAAAGAAAGAGTAAGCGTTTTCATTTCTTGCCATTCCAGAAAAAAAAACCCTGTACATTTAACCTGAAGATGCCAAATAATCCAAAGAATTACATCCCAAACCAATTACATCATTATTTCCATACCATGTATCACCCATCCCACCAATACAATCTAGCATATGTAACCCACGGGGGAAAAAACAGCAGGTATCACCCAAGATATCAGACTGAAGAAGGCATCTAATTTGTACTATTTGTATTAACTTCAAGTTTAGTTGTAACCCAGTGTCAACTAAATTCTACGAATTACCATTTTATCCTGTTTCAGCTGCTGTGTTTCTCAGTACAAATTCATTTTACAACAACTTGGGCATTCAAACACATTTTTAGAGGTGGTTTTCCATCCATACAGACCAAATTTCAGCACAAGCTCAAAGATATGCTCAATCTAAATTAACAAGACATAGATTACAATACAAAATCAAAACTGGCAGCTTATCTGTTCTGCCATTAGAACGCAGACTAATCAAGTGTACAGGCACCCAACACAATTCCAAGGTTTCATCCAGGCTGCACTCTCCTGCACATCACCTTCATGGGTTCAACATTTTAACTTCACCACTTCCCTGCATTTCCACTGTTCAACCCAACCCATGTGACTTCCAAGCAATGTCCTCATCTCTTGGCGTGTCAGCTTCTGGTTAACAGACACTGCTAAAACTCAGTTTCAGGG